CTTTGTTTGTTATGTGTGCAATGTGTACTGTGGACGTGTCAAATAACTTTTTGTAATTAATATTGTTAAGCACATTGAAAGTCAGTTTAATCTAAATTTAGTTTAATTTACATTTATATGTGACTAGTGACTTCACTCAGTGGCAGTACTGCAAAGGTGGAGTCCAATGTGTTTCATAATGAGTCGATGATTACCTGCACAGGACCCTGTACAGAATGAACTGAACAACGTGAAGTCCTGTTACCCATTTTAAAATCAAACCTAAAACAAAATTTGAGAAAGGAGTAACAAAGTGTCTCTTGGCTTTTTGGTGAATGAATCGATGAATTCTCTGAGATCCCTGAGACAAGGACCCTATTAAAGTCAAGTGTCTAATAACCACTTGGTGCTGACAGTTTGTTTTCTGGACAATCATATTAATGGGAGTACAATTAAGGTTATAATTACAATGCAAGTGATAGGTGAAAATTCTCTCAAAATTGCACGAGTCTTTAGGTGAGTAAGTGCAATTTGAAAGAATTTTCAAATATTACAAGGAGGGGGACAAACATATGGGAGGGCTCTGAACATTACAACACTGTGCAAAAAAATTAACAAACACCGCATCACCATAAGTAAAGTTGATGAAACACCGTCACTGCAACAGGTATTTTTAACCCTATGATTTGAACGTCTACACTAGACATACGATGTCTATACCTCAACAGGTTTCCACAAAATGAACACATTTTGGAGGAAGTCGTATGTCCTGACAGAAACTAGTATTTACACAGAAATGAACTATGTAGTTCAGTTTCTTTGATCTTGGTCTGAGAAAGGTCAAACAAGAAACCACAGCACTGCAAACAATTTCCTTTCACCGAACACCAAATGGTGATAAACACAAACATCGCACTCCATAGGTGGGATTTTATTCACTGCATCACTGCATTAGAAAACAATAACCACAAAGCCCCATGTCCCCCTCCACAAGTAGTGTAAATCTAAATAAATTTACTTAAGCCTTCATACAACTACTCATTTGTTAATTAACCTTACATGACTGAGAAAATCACTAAAATAAATGCCCCTGTATTAATTTACACTGCAATGTATATTAAAAATCAATGATAAATTTTCATGCTGTCTGAGCCAATCACAGTGAAGAAATTTTCTTGGTCATAAAATAACTCTTTAATCATCAGTTTCAGAGAGTGAAGTTCAAAGCATGGTTCATGTCTACAACAACCTTGCAGCTCTTTCTCCCAGAGACAAGTATATTGACAGGAAAACATTGTAAGTAAATAACTTTTAACATAATTAATTTTGTTGAGTCAGTACTTTAGGCAATAGGTAACTTGGTAATATGCATGGCGATTATAATTACCGGTGTTATATTACAGGTCTGCCTGTGATGTTCTCGACTAGCATTTTTTCCTCACTAGATTAAGTATTCGTTTTATAGTGGCAAGTGTCAGTATTGAAATATTATGTAAAGCAAAAAGAGTTATCCTCTGTGAGTGGTTCATGGCAGATGTACTTTTTTCTTTTTTTTTTTTTGATTGTGCGTGTCTGTACACTTAGGGCCTGTTTACAAGGAGGGAGGGTTACCCTAGCACTGACACATTTCCTCTTTTTTTCCTTGTTGTGTTTACAAGGCAGCTAGGGTTACTTGGTGGGTAGGTTACCTTATCTGCATGCTAGGGTTAACTCGCCTACCCAGGTTAACTTTCTAATTGTTTCCAGACCCTCTCGGTGCAACCGCGCATTAAGTTGTCCCGGGTTGTAGGGTTACCCTACCTGTGAAATTTTGCTTGTAAATCCGGGCTATCTTTTGCCCTCCAGCTAGGGTTAACCCGCTTGCTATGGTAACCCTCCCTCCTTGTAAACAGGCCCTTATATTTGGGGAATGTCCAACATGTATTCCGTCCCTTTTTCAATCTTTTCTTTTCAGCATGGTTAGCCCAGCCACTTAGCACAACTAGCATTTGCTATTTCTTTTAAGTGGCTGTTCTCTCTTTATCTTCCTTATATTTGTACATTTAAAAGAGCACAAATAGAGATGGTTGTTGTTGCTGTAATTGTGGCCAGAATCAGTTAGCACGTCAAATGACTGTACATGCTGCTAAGAGGAAATACAGTCTTGTAACAAGGGGTGCGGGGTGTGTGTGTGTGTGTGTGTGGGGGGGGGGGGGGGGGGGGGGGGGGAAAAGTTCTGGCAAGAGTAGGATACACCTACAGCCGAGCCATTGTTTGCTGCATTGATTGTTTTGGCCACTGTAGTTTCTATGACAGGGTATTAACAGCTATGCAATACTTTTTTGTCATGTACCATGTAACATCCCACTGGTCACTTGTATTTTCTTGGAATTCACTAACACACCCAAAGGCTCTTACATATACCAAGAAAATACAACTGACTTGTGGGACATTCCATGGTATACCATTTGAAAGTGTTGCAAAAGTAGTGTTTTAATGAGATCTAAGATGGGAGAGTCTTTTCCTGTGTGCAGTTGCATTAGAATAGTACCGGTACTTGTTGATGTATCATGCAATTTGGTAGTTAAAGGCAGACTTTATCAGTTGTGGTATATTAACATATTGCAGCTACTTCTCTCAAATGCTACAATTGCCATGGAGCAAAAAAGGAACCTGATCAGGATGCAGGTTGCAGTAATACCACCAAGAACTGCAGTGGATCAGAGAATACATGCATGATACATCTCACCAGAAACAAGTTATCTGGTGTGTACTGAGAGCTGGAAATTAAAAAGCTTTAAGCACTATTTTTGCTGCAAGTGCTTGGAACCTAAATAATCTCACCCAAACCCTAGACTGCTGGCAGACAGCCTTTTCTCTTAGGGTCACTTAGTTAGACGAGTGTTTAGCCATTGCAAAGACAAAAGGGCAGTATGGCTGAGTAGGGAATGAACTTCAAGGTCTCACCTCATAATCCCTGCTGAATTTCAAGAGAAAAACAGACTGCCAGCATTCCAGCCAAACCCTTTTAATTTGAATGGCATTTAGTCTCAAGAAGTCTCACCAGAGCCATGGTTCTTATTTTGACACCCAACTAGTGCAAATGGAGCAATTACAGTGTTTGAATGGGGAAGTCATTATGTACAAGTGTTCTTGAGTTCATCCTTAAAAATTCTAACAATCTCTGGCCGCTATAGAGTTTAGGAAATCAAGGACAGGCCAATATACATGTCTAAAAAGACACAAAAATAACATTAAAAAAAAAAAAAAAACAGAGTTGAATGTAAACTTTTGCCAGATTCAAACTGACAAACTGTGGAATTTCAGAGAATAATGCAAATGTGACACGCTGTAACTGAACCCTCAAAACAGCACAGGAATATGATCATAAATGTTATGATCATAAATGTTACATGTTGTAGTTCTGATCTAGCTGTCATCTAGAATTTCACTCAGTTAATTTATTTTTTTGTAAATCTCGCAGAATTTGTTTGTTTGTTTTTTCTTTTTTCACAACAACAAGAATATTAATGTTTGTGAATTAAATGCAAAACTTTGATACATAGAAAAAATTCTAAGTTCACAATTAAGTGAAGGTGTTTTTTATTACTCATATTTTATGGTAAAGTATTTTTTTGTCTCTACAGAACCTCAAGTCTATCACCTAACTTGCAAAGCTAAAGTTGACTGTGAACGTCTGGGTGTTGGCTGTATCAAAAATAATGATAAAACTATCTGCACAAAATGTTGTTCCACTGATCTGTGCAATACTCGTACAACCTATAGTGGTAATCAGTCTGTTTTGTTATGATTTTTATTGATGTTGATTATTTTAGTTTGAGCCATGACTAGCCTGCAGACGCAGACGCATTTCCAGTTGTCGCTTGTCTCTGCCGAAAATAACGTCTGGGAACCTAAAGCCAGGAAACGATTTCTAGGACGTAGGAATTTTAAGCCAATCACAGTTTAGCTCAAGTAGCCCCAGAACTACTCCTGCGAGGTTTTCGCTGCGAGGAGTACGAGTTTCATTCTATCATGGAATCTGATTGGCCAAGGAGAAACAAAAGTCATTACATCACAGAAATTGCTTCCTGGCTCGGGTTCTAAGACGTTATTTTCGGCAAGACAAGCGACAGCCGGAAATACGTTTGCGTTCACATGCTAACCCTTGACATGCATTGTGTGGAAAGGAAACTTGAACTCAAGTAAATAAAGACTGTTATAATAATTAAACTGTGATAGACAAGCCCACAAGTTGAGTTGCAAAACCCAAGCTCAGAGCAAGGGATGGCTGTGGGACTCTCAAAACTTAAGTGCAAAGAGTGCAATGTAACTAGCTACAACCATGGAAGACTTTGAGAAAGTCTAAAACAAAGACAACACTCCTGGAAGGAATGTTTCTGGTTTCATTTGAAATTTCAGTTACTGAGAGATCCAAAATTATTATCCTAAGATATTATTCTGAAACATTATTTTAAAAAAATTTAAGACCAGATTTGGAGCAAGTTCATTTTGGATTTTGTTGCCCAAAGATAAACTGCCCCTGATATGACATGACATTTCTTTTATGGGTGGAGACGGCATGGCCGAGTGGTTAAGGTGCTGGACTTAAAACTGGAGGTCACGGGTTCAAGTCCCACTCAGACCACTGAGCGGGAGTTTTTTCTCAGTAGACCCTAGTTCAACTCCTCAGCCTCGCTTGTAACTAGCTAACTGGTCTGCCTCCTGCCAGTTGGGATTTTTAGCCACGTTATGTTCATTTGCATTATTTGTTTCATCATTTGCTTCCATTGGCCCTGAAAAGCCGCATTGGAGGTATGGTCAATTAAGGTATATTTATTTTTAGTTTTTAATACTACAATGTAGGTGCTAGAATTCTCACTGATGTTTTATGACCTTTTATCACTGACAGCTACCTTAGCTCCACCAACCTCGTCGACATCAAGGAGGACACAAATTCTACCAATCATATTTTTCCTGACCACACTGACAGTGTTCTGGTTTTGTGACTAAGAGTTCAGCGTAATAATGTTGACTTCTACAATGTACCAATCTTTGGGAAGTAAAAAAAATATATATAATAATAGCCTAGTCTGCACTGCCAATGTAAACCATACACAAAAAAGAAACAAAGTGTGCAGTTGAACTAAAGTGGTCTGCAGTACACTGTTCAGAGGAGGTTATCATAATGGGTCCTTTGCATTAAGGTGATTCCTTAGTATTGCATTGCACATCCCTACTGCACACAATTTTCGGATCATTAGCTTGCGCACATGAGCACGTGCGCGTACAAAACAAAAGAGATTTCCCTCAAACTAAGCTCGATAGCAAAATAAATGCTCCTTTTCTCTTAAACGAACACGGTGACCCCCACTTTTTATTTTGTAATTAATTTTCAATGAGAACAATATCCTCAATAACTGAAAAAAAAATTAGAAGAAATCTATGGCTACTTTCTTGGCAAATGAAATAAATACTACAGAGGGAGACATAACGGGCCCAACAGCACATGTCCAAATTATGTTTCCTATAAAGGATAAAAAAATGCAGGGTAT